ATCCCTCCTCCACATCCTCCAAATAGCATTTTCTTCTATGCGTCGTTCTTCCATTTCTTTTGCTTACGTCGTTCCTATGGAGGTTGGCTGTTGCTGTGGGCAGCGCCACGTCGACAGCACCGCATTGTTCTCCTCGTCCGTGAACTCGCCTAATTGTCCTTGCACTAAGCCCTAATTGTTCTTCATAGCCCTCCTTTTAACACTGGTCAACGCGAAGCTTTTCAGCTCGAATCTTAGTCCAATTGACATCTTTTTGTTATATAATCCATCGCCAGTACCACTCACTGCTGAAGTGCTTAAGTTTCTTGATCGCTGCTTGTTAATCTTACAGAACCTTTCACCAACGACGAGTCTTACATGGCAGATGAGGAGGAGGAACGCTGTATTTGTCAAATCTGCAACTGTGGGTAGGTACTATGACACACTACATATTTTTCAAGAGCCGGGTCACTGCTCTCGATCTGAATCAAAGTGAGACACGTATGGAAGGGTAGAGTTCGATGAAAACAAGGGGGATTTCGAAACTGCAGCAAAATCTCCAAAATATTGTTTGTTTGGTTAGCTCTGGCTCCAAAGTCCGATTATTCTTCCCGAAAAGTTCAGAAACCCTAACGCCTTAGCCTTAGCCTTACTCCCTTCCATAAACACACTGCTACTCACATCACCAACGATTGATTCTGGAGGAATTCCCCGACGCTGACACTCCTTGGTCTGGTGTTCAATCGACTGACGTTCAAGTGTGAAACAACCACCAGAACTGAAACAGTTACTATTGCTCTGTCGATACCATTATTTTGTGACGAAAACCAAATATTCTGATCGCGATTAGACCCTTTAGGGCACTTCTAATTGAGTGAGGTAGCAAGACCCTTGAACACAGAAGATTTGGTACTGTCGCGACGTGAAATTTCGAGCTGAAGCTAATGCCTTTGCTCGACCGCTGTGACCACTGCAATTCCATTATTCTCGGCATAGTGGCGTCCGGGCCCGCTCGCGTACGAAATGCTCTGTTGCTTATTCACTCTGCTCACAGAGCAATAACTCTCCGTTGCACCACGGCCGATCCCACAAGGAAAACTCCAGCGTTTTCTATTGTGCTTTCTGCTTTTTTCCCACTAACTTTCCTCACCGCACTTTTTGTCTAATTTGGGAACAAAAAAACACACACAAATCGCGATCCGTGCCTCCGTGCCGAAAGGGTTCACCCTTTCGGCGTGCGATGCAATTGCCACCATCAAAAATTCAAATGTTTGCATAGCCGCTGAAACAGCATGGTTTTTCTAACTAATCCTGGAGGTTTGCTTTAGTCAATCTTCCCCTTTTTAATTATGAGCTAAACCTGCCATTTCATTGTGTGTTGCTGTTAGTATTACAAGTATTTGTGTACAAGTGCAACAATGAATCGGCGCTGACCCCCGCAACCGGCCAAGTAAGTGTGACTTTTTCCAAAATACTGAACTACAGTGCGTTTCAAAAGTATGTGCACACCCTCAAAATTCACGTTTGAAAGGGAACCATGAGGTTTCGTGCTATGAAATCCTTCTCAATCGATTTCTCGTAGTCGATAACCTATCAATGGAAGCAAAGCAGATAATATCGCTTCACTTTCGAAAAAAAATTTTGGATGAAATTTTTTTCTTTGTTTCAAAAGTATGTGCACACTTAACAAAAGACAAAAACATAGCTGAGATTAGAAATCAGTGGGGCCTCCAGAGTTTCTAATTAGCTCAAACATCCTGTCCGGCATAATCTGAACCACGTTTGGCATAGCTGTTTCGTCGCTGTCGGCCCAAATAGCCTCTACCGCCGCCTTCAGTTCATCCGCGGTATTATACTGCCGGTTGCTAAAGTTAACGCCTTGATCAAGGGCTCCCTATAGGGTTGCAGTAAGGAGGACACACAAGCCAATCTATCGCTTCAGCACCATTTGGTTAAGGCCATTCTTTGGTAGATTGCGAAGCATCGAAAGACACGTGGTCCTGTTGCTAAAAATGCAATTTTCGCTCCGCTTCGCTAAGGAAGGGCAACAGGTGACATTGGAGCACTGCTTGGTATTCTTTACAGTTCATACGCAATAATGGAACGGCAACTTCTGAATTTCCGCTGATTGCGAAACCGCCGCAGACCCATCAACGGGCCTCTTCCGAAATTCCTTCTCGAGAGCACGAGCGACTCACGGCCAAGCCTCTCCAGTAGTAGCAAAATCCACCCGGCCCGTCAAGATCGAACTCTTTCCATGAGTTAAGATTACCTGAGGAGAGAAAGTCCATAAAAAGTTGCTTGTTTTGAAAATAGGAAATTCTCGAAAAACCGTGTCTTCGCCCGGTGTCCTATCCTATGTTGCCATGTCTGTACGAGCAGACTCCAATGTGGCTAACTTGTGCTGGGCCTTGAAGTGAGTAGCCTTTCTCAGCGTCTGTCGAGTGGTGTATTCATTTGAGCGGATGAGGGGCTTAGTGGTCATTTTCGAGGCTGGAATAAAAATCTGAGCTCGGACTGTCAATGAAGAATCCGACAGGATGTGGGCTACTCTTTTGTTGTTCTGAGCAGTCAAGGATCGTGGATGGAGCGGAGTGTGTGCTGAGTATAATTATCAGGGTGCCAGATAAATCTTCGAATGCATTTAAGGAGAACGACCAAGTTATCGTGCGATTTCTAGATTGGAACGTTCATTATCATGCAGAACCTTGATCTGAGCTTGCTCATCTTCAGGAAGAAGTATGGCGCGAATTGACATGATGACGAAATGAAAACAGCAAAGTCGGATTGAAATCGGTGGAAAATTCGGCGCCAAAATCTGATCTTCTTCAAGTGTGCACATACTTTTGAAACAAAGAAAAAAATTTCATCCAAAAAATTTTTCCGAAAGTGAGGCGATATTATCTGCTTTGCTTCCATTGATAGGTTATCGACTACGAGAAATCGATTGAGAAGGATTTCATAGCACGAAACCTCATGGTTCCCTTTCAAACGTGAATTTTGAGGGTGTGCACATACTTTTGAAAACGCACTGTAGATCCATTCCTTAATCAAAATTATGGGTTATAATGTTATGCAAGATTATAAACTTTTTCGGCATAACTATGAAATTTCGAATTGTTTCGACATAAGCTTAAAAACTAAGAAGGTGGGCCAATTTTCAAAGCTTCTTAGTTTCTTTGTTTGTGATCGAATAGCTTCCAAATTTCGCCATAATGATACCTATATGCTCACAAGTAATAAACAATAGCTAGAAGAAAAATTTCTCCACGGGGAAAAATTCAGGTCCGAAAGGGTTAAAATCTACAGATGTTTCCGACCCGTGTTCAGCCTCCTCACTGTCCGGCGGTGCTTGCTACCGTGACATGAACTAGTCGGGGGAGCCTTACCCTGCTGATAAAAAGCGCCATTCACGAATTGCATGTGCTATGGAGGCCACCTTTCACCATGCACATCCTACTAACAGAGCAACTGGCGTCCCACTCTCTCAGATCGATGAATCGCTACCGGATCTGTCGGTAACTTAAAACACTGGTGTGACCGGCCTATCACCTGCAACTCATTGCCAAGTCTCACTTGAGTGCCACTGCAATATTGAGTGAATGCCGAATGCTTGGCCCATCTCAAACGGGATTGATCAGCAATGGGTCCCACTAGCCGCGTTTTCTCTTGGAAAATTGCACAAAATCATCTCTATGACTATTTTGCTTCCTTAGTGATTGGGAAAGCGCAAATACGACCGTTCATTATAGTTTTTACTGTACTGCGCACTCACAGCTGTGTGTTAGCTGAATCAAAGGAAGTCTTCTCGAAAAAAATCATGGTTCTATTTATTCCATAACTCATTGGTGAGACCAAATCGTTTGTCATAAACGAAAATAACAAAAAAAATCGTGTTTGTTTTGAGAAACAATACGAAAAACCGGAAGGACTGTTACGCGTTCAAGATCCCGCCGTAAATCTGTCAGAAATGCTGGCGGCAGGAATGATTCCACTTGGTTTTCGGAAAGCCACAGCTTGGAACTCTTTTGACCTTTTGGCTCATTGCACTAACATCTCACACTTCTACTGCACCCTATTCTATTGATCGTTTTGTCTCTCTTCTCCAAAATCGAACGCTTTATTCGATTCTTCGAATGCGTTGTCTGATACGTGACCGCCCCAATGCGCACTTCTTTCCTAGCGCCGCCTTTGGCTACGCGCGACTTACCCTCATCCGTCAACGGAGTGTGTTTTCGTGAGTGGGTTTTGCCTCGAAAACTGAATCCTCGTGTACTTTTTATGTTGCCTGTAGTGACCATAACTGACATTTTCACTTTGGAAAATGCAAGAAATTTGCGGAGTTGACCCTTCAAAAGACAGATGGTGCGACTGAGTGGGTTCCCGCTGGGAATGAAAAGATGAGAGCCAGTAATTTTTTGAGCTTTAGGTCGTTTCCCTTAATTTTACCTAGTGCTGAAAGGTGTACCCTACTCCACCTCTGATAAATGAGCTGAAAGAGTCGTACTAATAGCAACATTAGCACTGAAAAGAGAAGCTCTCAAAACAGTATTTCCGATCAACAGGATACTTCGCCTCGAGGCAGTTTGAATAACTAGCAATAGGTGAATCTATTATATTTTAGATCGTTCATTTGCAGGAACCACAGATGCTCACACATGGATCCCGACTGGGTGGCCAGAGGGAAGCTCGACGGAAACACTGAATATCATGCTCAATATCCTGGAAAGGCAGCTCAAAGGTACGAGTTTTGAAGGAGCAGTATGGTTAGATGGGTAGGGAACTCTGGCACATTACCTCATCCTTTGAGTAGCTCGCAGTTTATGTTGACAGATAGAGCTACAAGGCAGATGATACGACAAATTGGTCGCCCGTTGGAAATTGAAGTAAGGAGCCAAGAGCCTTTTTTGAGCTTTGGGGCATTTCCCTCATATTTTCCTCCAATGCCAAAAACTGCGATGTGAAACCCTTTACTGTGCCTCTCGGCTGAATTAGCTAGAATCCGACGGCCAGAAATCAGCAGCCATCGCAGGCGGACAAAAGCAGGAAGACGTCCAGAGAACGTTCAAAGACTTTTCTACCCCTATGTGCCCTTCTCCTGGGCCCGACCTCCTTTCGCAGTGGGTTCATTCGCCCTTATTAACACATTCACGCCGATGGCCGCCCATATGGGCTGCCAACAACATGTGCTCCTGGGACGATGGCAGCCCATATGGGCTGCCAACTGATAATCGCTTGCCAGGCGCTAGGAATGGACAGATAGGTGGGCAAACCTCGTAATCGAGTGTAAAATGCTTTTAAATTCCTTCACGGGGAAAGAATAAATGCTCTCTTTTCGTAACCACTATTTGTCGTTCTGATCGAAATCCTACTATATGTTTAGATAATCTTTACGCATTGGACATTGCAGAAATTATTTTGTGACATTCATGTTTTTGTTCATTTACAAAACAAAATCTGCGGATTATGAGGTGAGGCGGCGGCGCCCACAAAATCGCGTCCGTCCCACGCGACCGAAAGTGGAAAAGGGGCGCCGTCGTGAATGTGTTAACCGTCCCTTGCCACAAGCCCATTAGGCTATTAGGAGAGTGAACGTCGAAGAATGAGTGGCTATACTGCGGAGTCTCTCTCCATCCAAGGTTCAGGCTGAAACGTTTAATTGAGGATTGCCGTATTGTGACAATGTAACAGACCGTCATTTCCCGGCAGCATACATATCTCACCTATCTGTATTGTTGTGAAGCCATTCCTGTTGAGAAGTCATTTTCAGTTCACTCGCTTTGTAAATTTAGGTCAAAGGCCATTCGACCTGCGGAAACGCTCTTGAATTCAGGAGAATTCAATGGAGTAACAACAAATAGAGCGGACTTTTCTGAGAAGCACGTAAGCCAACATTGAGTATTCTTTCTTTCGTGATTTGTAAGATTGAGGTGGAGTTGGATTAGTGGCAGACGGCGCATTACCACATGAAGTGTCTTGGGATCGTATCTTGCCCAGGTCGCTCGAATTTCATGTGTTGACATATTTACCTGTACACAAGTTACCGTCGGCATGACCTCACCTCCAAACTCCTCCCCTAATCTCTTCCGGAAAGCGTGGGAACATAGGGAAGCGTGACGTTTTTGCCAACTTATGAACATATAATTGGAAAAAGTACGGTTTTAGGGGACGCGAAGTCGCGCTATTCGACCGGCGGTGACCGCGCTTCAAAGCGGAGAATTCAACGGCAACACGACTAACAAGACTGATTACAATAGAAAGCAGGTAAGGTGATTTTTAGGTGCAAAACTCTTAGCAGTAAATACTTATAGCGTTTTTCTTCCTTTCTTTGTTGAATGTTTGTTTTTGCTTCAGACAAAAGATTATAGGACTGTTCCTTTATGGATCAAACAGTAAGGGCTTTGAAAAAATGAGTTCTTGCACGTGAAATGCAATATTAAATGATTTACCCGTTACAGGCTGAGAGGGCGGCAGCGTTCAGACCTCATGAGACTGCTGTCGGTGGTGGTGAATTCACAGGAGCTACCACCAATAGAACGGATTTCGACAGGAAGGAAGTGAGTGCGGTCCTGCAGCGGAAGTGACTGCCGTAGGACAAATGAGTGCACATTAGTATAATGACATGTCATTGTTCGAAAGATTTAAGCTAGCCTAGCTAGGGGATTTTTTGATTGAGGAATCGCCTCCATCGTTAATGGACGCGAAACTCGAAAGACACATTTCCCCGACTATCGACGCCAGCCATTTGAACCCCATGGGATTTCATAAGTGAGTGCTGGGAAGAGGAGTTAATCCCCTGTGAAGGCCTCAAACAAGACCGTCGTCGGAGCTGGTCGGGGTTTATCGTACTAGCCTTCGGTATGGAGAGTGCGTGTCAACATGAGAAAGGGCAGAGTGAGTGTGGGACGACGGGAAAGATGCAGAAAGAATGGGGTGTTACCGGACGCGAAGACTAGACTTGATATCATCATACTCACGCCGCGTTTGCCAAAGCGAAGCCAAATCTTCTCCTTCAGCTCCTACACATCCTTTCACTAGCATGACGTATTCCCGAAGGTAATCGTGAATTATGCCCTTCAGCGACCCTACCTTTGCAACATTATATCACATACGTCACCTCTAAGTCTACATACCCTATGAAGATCTGTAGCCTGTTTGAAAATTTCATCACTTAATTCTTGATTTCCTACAATTTCAGGGAGGACGCCAGAAGGCTTTCAGACCAGACTTTACCGCCATTCAGTCAGGCGAATTCACAGATGTCACCACTAACAGGGCCGATTTTGACCGCAAACAAGTACGAAAATGTTGATACGATTGATACTCATGAAAAAACCAGCCCACTATGGTAAAAACTCGAGCTAATACAGAACCTGGCTTATTTTCCGGGTGGCGGATTTAATCCCTAGGCTCATAGGCTGCGCCTCGAAACAAAAACATGTGTCTTTTTATTCTCACTAAAGCCTTTCACTTTTACCTTACTTAATCGAGTTCCAACATCTTGGCTGTGGATGACAAGGGGCTCCAAATGAATCCTTCATGACGCATCTTTCAGAAAAGGTGGAATTGGATTTGGTGGGAGTGCTTGCTTTTCTTTCCTTGAATTCGCCACGCATCCAGCAAATATAAAATTTCGTAGTCATTCCATCTCTCTCCAGATATAGTAGGAATTTTAACTGCATTTTATTAGGATGGTAAGAAAGTCCTGAGCCGTTTGACACTTTTTTGTGCTTTACTTTTTTATTCCGCGTACAATGGAATCTACTCAACAATATAATCACCATTGTTACTCACTACAGAGTCCCACCTAATGGGCAGGTCAGCGACCCCCTTCTCCCAGAACTGAGCAGACTGAGAGTCAAAGAAATCGCTGACCGC